TACATTACTCCCATTCTTTCTAGTGAATAAACTCACTTGCAAAGGTTTCAGAAGGGTCTCATAATTAAATGTAAGGAATTATATAGATCTGGACAAGCTGATCAAAGCAATTAGGTGAGAATATAGAGTCATAATAAAACCAAAAGCATTAAGAGTAGTTCCTCTTCAGTGAAAAAAGTTACTAAGATTTTATAGAAACAACAGCCGTTTGCTATGTACAAATAATTTCATGTGTCTTTTTCAGGTACAGAAGTAGGGGCCTAAGGACGGAGGATCTCAGAGTCAGGGCTGAGCTGCTGTGGGAGACCCGAATGGCCCAATTCCAGGAGCACAAACTCAAAGGCCTATTGGCCAGGCCAGGCAATGACAGCAAAGAGGACAAGTGCCAGAGGACAACTGGAGAGGGGGGCACGTACAGGTAACAGCTGGCTGGGGACTCAGGTCCAGTTCATTCCTCTCATGGGGAAACCTAAGCCCAGCACTGCCATGAATCTACCAGAAGACAACTTCATCTAGAACAGAGCAACACAAGGGCAGGAAGGGGAGCAGGGTGCATAAGGAGGGAGAAACTGCCAGCAATGTGGGAGTCTCATTATCACAGAAAGAAATAGCTCGGAAGTAAGTGCGAATGACAGCCACTAGGAAGGAGAGGAAAGGGTCAAATCCAGTCGACTACAGAGTAGAGCTAAAGAATTTATGAGAAGCAGGACCTAGTGAAAGACCAGATGTGCAGGACTCAGGTGATGATAAATTTTTTTTTCTTTTTTTGTCTTTTTGGTACTGAGGATCGAACTCAGGACCTTGAGCTTGCCAGCCAGGCATTTGTGCCAGTGAGCTATCTCCACACGTGGTGGTAAATCTTCAGGGGGCGCCTACAGCGAACACATTCAAAGCGTGAAGCACGGCAGGCAGGGGCACGCGTCAGCTGTGCCGGCCTTCACTGTCTCCCTGAGATGAGTGCACTGGCTTTCTCTCTGTTCTCCCACTAGTGACCAGGCAACAGCCAGGCCTGCGGAGGCCCAGGCACTGCGGAAAACAGTTAAACCTGCTCACGAGGGAGCAGCTGCTCGCTGAGTTCACAGGGGAACGGCAGGGAAGCGCAGGAGAACGGGCGAGGGATGGCGCCTCGGGAAGCCCAAGACCGCGGTGGGCCCGCTGCAGGGATAGAAAGCATCGAGAGGGAGCTGCAAATCCGTATCGAGTTACAGATTTTCACTGGACCCGGTAAGTCCAGGCTTCTTGTTCACGATTTTCTTAAAGATTCAGAAAGTGAAGATAAAAATATTGCCATGCAAAAGTAATCATGGCAAATAGGAAAGGACAGATTGTACCACATTGACTACCCCTTTTGTGGGCTAACAATCTTAATCTCCATTGTTACTTTTTTTGTTTTGAGACAGGGTCACACTATGTAGTTCAGACTAGCTTTGAACTCACTGTGTAGCCCAGGCTGGCCTCAAAATCATGGCAATCCTCCTGCCTCAGCCTCTTGTGTGCTATGGTTACAGGTGTGCACCACCATGCCTGGCTCAAGTTAAACATTTATCTATTTATGTTACAGAATCTCGCTGCCAGCTCAGACTCATAGTGAGTCCTCCTGTCTTAACCTTCCCAGTGCTGGGATTACAGGCAAGCGCCACCATACCTGGTTTTGATGGTTAGCACGACATGCTGGCGGGGGTGCGGGTGGGGGTGGTTCCAGGGCCAGCAACGCATGGGGCACTGGGTACTGAACTCAGGTCCTAGGCGCTTAGACCACCGAGCTACCTCCCTAGCCCTCAGTTTTTACTTTAAGAAATAAATTCCTTAGATTTTTTTTTTTTTTTAGATTTTTTTTTTTAATGTAATTAGTACAGGTTCTACAGGGTCTCACTACACAGATCAGACTCATAGTGAGCTTTCTGTTTTCAGCCTTCCAAGTGCTGGGCCCACGCCACCATACCCAGTCTCAACTGCTGTCTCAGCGTGCCCCAGGGCCGGGGCCAGCACAGCAGGCGGGGGATCGAACCCCAGTCCCTGTGCCTAACTAAGCAGGCACTTTAGTCCACTGAGCTATCTGGCCAGCCCTTAGATTTTTTTTTTTTTTTTTTTTTTTTTGGCGGAACCAGGGATTGAACTCAGGCTCTTGCGCTTGCCAGGGAAGTGCTTATTCCACTGAGCCATCCCCCCGGCCCCTAGATTTTTTTTTTTTTAATTTTTATTTTATAGTTATTTTTTCCTAGGGTAAGATGTTATCTCAATGTTGTTTTAACTTGCTAATGGCCAATGATGTTTAGCATTTTAAAATGTATTTAATGACCATTTGTACTTCTTTTGAAAAATACCTATTCATTTCAGTTGCTCTTTTTTTGATGTTAATGACATAAGCCAATACACAAACTCAAATACCACTTGGTTTCTTATATAAGAAACAAAATATTTACAAATATACAAATAAAGAGCAAAATAAAAGTGAGATAACTAGAAAATGGGGAGATGTTAAAATACTTCCCCAAATTATGTATATTGTTGTTTCAAAAATATTTTTATATATATGTTAACTTGTTTCATTTATGCTACTAATTTATCTTAGAACACTGAAAATTCTGTGTTATTACCTGTTCCTTTCTTTTTTTGGTAAGCATCTCTTTTTTTTTTTTTT